GGAGAGGTCTGTGTGGGGTAGGCTGTATTAGCGGTGTATTGGTGAGGGCGGGTGTCTGTGGGGCAGGTTGTATTAGCAATGTATTGACGAGGAGGGGTCTGTGTGGGGCAGGCTATCTCAGCGTTGTTTGGATGAGGAGGGGTCTCTGTGGGGCAGGTTGTTTCAGCGGTGTATTGATGAGGAGGAGTCTGTGTGGGGCAGGCTGTATTAGTGGTGATTTGGTGAGGAGAGGTCTCTGTTGGGCTGGCTGTATCAGGGGTGTATAGGTGAAGTGGGGTCCCTGTGAGGCAGGCTCTATCAGTAGTGATGGTGATGAGTAGTTTGTGTCGGGTAGGCTGTATCAGTAGTGTACTGGTGAGGCAGGGTCTCTGTGATGCAGGCTGTATCAGCCATGTAGTATTGGCGAGGAAGGGTCTGTGTGGAGCAGGCTGGCTCAGTGGTGTTTTGGTGAGGAGGGGTCTGTGGAGCAGGCTGTTTCAGCGGTGTATTGGTGTGTAGGGGTCTTTGTGGGGCAGGCTTTATCAGCAGTGTATTGGTGTGTAAGGGTCTCTGAGGAGCACGCTGTATCAGCGGTGTATTGGCGAGGAGGGGTCTGTGTGGGGCAGGCTATATCAGCACTGGTATTGGTGAGGACACTCCTTGTGGGTCAGGTTTTATCAGTGGTATATTGGTGAGAAGGTGTCACATTGGGGCAGCCTGTATCAGTGACAGGATCTCTGGAGACAGGGTCCATAGCAACTTTCCTGTAATCAGGATCCTTTGTTGAGGAGCTAGTTCTTTGTAAAAAGGGGGTGCTGCTCTGTAAATACAGCTCCAGTGGAGTAGTTATTGTGGAAGAAGTGGTTGTCCCATAGCCCTGAGGGAGGCCAGTGGAACCATCTTTCATCATCCCCCCCCCCCCTTTTTTATCCCTGGAAACACCCCTGGCTTGCACAGGTGTCCCTGTCTAATTGGGGCTGGCTAATGATTGGTGGCTCGTCCTGGTTGAGAACCAGTTGAAAATGTGCAAAGCAATAGTATGGTCTCAAGTTGCAGTGGGGGAGGTTTAGGTTGGATATTAGGAAAAACTTTTTCACTAGGAGGGTGGTGAAGCACTGGAACGGGTTACCTAGGGAGGTGGTGGAATCTCCTTCCTTAGAGGTTTTTAAAGTCAGGCTTGACAAAGCCCTGGCTGGGATGATTTAGTTGGGAATTGGTACTGCTTTGAGCAGGAGGTTGGACTAGATGACCTCCTGAGGTCCCTTCCAACCCTGATATTCTATGATTCTATGATTAGGGAAGGCTGGGGCATTTCCCACGTGGATACTGTGGGAAACATGGGCAATGTGCAGAGAGGAGATGGAGAGAGCTGGTAGCTCTGCTCCTGAAGCCCCATTGTTGACAGCACAGTTCTCTCCATTTTTTCAGGCAGCTCCAACCACTTTGGCACACAAATGAGTGAGGCTGGAATGAGACTCGGTCCTTCTTGGGCCCCAAACAACCAGTCTGTCTGGGATGTCAGCACCATGGAGAACCAAATGAAACACTGGGGTGTGTAGCTGCCAAGTGCATTTCCATCAGCTGTAGAGGAACAAATGTAACTGAGCATGATCAACTGATGTAGTGTAGCCCAGAAGGCCTGGGACGATGGGTCTCAGACGTTCAGTAGATCAAAGTATCATTCTAGAGTTAGGATTGCTGTGAATTGGGACATCTCTGTGAGGCAAGATCTGTCCGGGTCAGGGGGTCTCTGTGAGGCAGGGTGTTTCTGGGGTTGGGGTGTCTTGGTGGGTGAGGGTATCTCTGTAAGGCTGATTCTCTGGGGATCAGGGTGTTTCTGTGAGCTGAGGTCTCTGGGGGTCGGAGCCTTTGTGGGATAGGGCACTTCCAAGAGTCAGGGTTTCTATGTGATGGGGTGTCTCTGTGAGATGGGGGGGTCTGTGAGTCGGGGCATCTCCAGGCGGTGGGATGTCTCTGAAGGTCTGGGTCTATGAGGCGGGTGTCTGAGAAGCAGCTATGTCTATGGATCAGAGTCTCAGTTGGGGAGTCTCCAGGAGGTGGGATGTCTTTGTTGATCAGGGTTGCAGCGGGATGGAGGGGTTTCTGGGAGTCTGGGTATCAGTGAGTTGGGGTTTCCATGAAGCAGGATTCTCTGTGCATCTCTGGTAGTAGGGGTGTCTTCAGTAGATAGGATGTTTCTATTGGTCAGGTTGTCCATGGGATGGGTGTCTGTGAGGCAAGTGTCCCTGTGGGTTGAAATGTCTCCATGGTTTGGAGTTTTTCTCCAGTGGGAGAGACTTCTCTGTTGGTGGGATGAGGCGTCTGTGAGATGGACATCTGTGTGTTGGGGTGGGTCTGTGGGAGATGGGGATCTCTGGATGGGGGTGTCTCTTAGAAGGGGATGGGAGGGAGGTCTCTGGGAGGGTGTGTCTCATACCAAGGGTATAGGGCCTGGGGTGACTGAAAGTAGGTGTTTTTCATAGAGGGGGATGGGAGGTGAGGTTTGCTCTAATAATTGGGCCTACAAATTTACCTTAATTTTGAGCTCAGCTGTAAAAAGTGGATACAAGTTCCTAAAGTGTCCCAATAAGCTGGAATAGTAGAAGTTCATAGAATATCGGGGGGGGAAGGGACCTCAGGAAGTCATCTAGTCTAACCCCAAAGCAGGACCAATCCCCAGACAGATATTTGCCCTAGATCCTTAAATGGCCCCCTCAAGGATTGAACTTACAACGCTGGGTTTAGCAGGCTAGTGTTCAAGCCACTGAGCTATATCTCCCCCCTGGTTGATGGAAAAGGTGCAAACGTGAGACAGAAGGACTGAATTAGTTCAAACAAAAAGTCCTACAGACACCATTCCAGGACTGTATTAAGATCGCACCTGATAAACAAGAGGAGTAGAGGACTGGAAATCAAAGGACCAAAATTGGTGCGTTGGAAGTGAGGCCTGTTGGTGGACAAAATAACCACAGGATGGACTGTTCCGCCAAACACTTCCTTTAGGAATTTTTAGAAAGAAAAGACTTTTGGGAAACAGCCACTGCAGTGAGTTTTATTATCATGGCTGCCACCCCCACCATCTTCTCTGACCCCAGTCCTTCATCATCCTGCTGTCAAGAGGTGTCTTGACCAGAAAGGCCAGATAATATTGCCACCTCTACCAGCTCTGGCTGAATCCCAAATACCACCTGGAATGTGAGACTTTGTCTCCCCTCTCTGCAGTATGTCCTTTCCCCTCCCCACTTTATTTATTTTCTTTCCCATCTCTCTCCTTTTTCCTTCTGTCAAATGAGAGTCTGGCTTAACTGGTCAGGACTGTAATGTCATAGCACAGCTGTAAGCCTGTGACCTGAAAGAAGCAGCTAAAAGCAATGCCCTAAATGGGCTGATGCTGTTAGGAGTTCTGCAGATCTTCAAGTGGCTGATGAGACCATGTGCTGGGCCAGTGTTTCTCCAGCAATGAGGTTGCAAGTGAGAGTCAGCACCAGAGACAGAAGCTGCATTTTCTATTTGTTGTTTTTTTCTCTCCCCTTTTTGTGTGTTTTTGTTGTTTTGTCTTCTAGGAAACGGGATTGGACTTTAACAACAACGACACATCTCCAGGCCATCTCAACTAACTTCTCTTTGCCACATCTTTAATTCCATCTAAGCAACCGTCAAACAAAGGGTGTTTTCCTTATAAAACCTCTCTCCAGCTGATGGGAAAGGGAATGCTGTTACAATAAAAGCCTGACTTAATACTCTAACATTGCAAAGGCTTTAACTGTTTTTCCTTCTTTTCTGAATCTTTAATAAAAGGTTAAAAGGATGGTTAATGGTGCGCTTGTCCTGGGGCTAAGCAGGCTGAGGTCTCTGGATATGAAACCACAAACTTTGTTTAACACTGTTTAATGTTGGACAGTGACTGGATCATGTTAACACCTTTGGCCCCTATATTCCATCTAAATTAATACATCACGTCGACGTGAGGGGGTTTCTCTCTCCCAGGGGCAGTGCCAGCCTCTTCCCAGGGCGGGGTCTGAGGTGGGCTAGACAGAAAATTGGGGGCGGGGGTGGTGCTATACCTCTTGTGGGCACACATATGGGAGCACTGAGGCTCCGCTGCCCACCCACCGGGTGTATCATGAGGGTTCTGGCCCCTTGCTGCCTCTTCACGG